TCCAAGATTTTTGGCCTAAGCAATGGGAAGGATAAGTGCTAATTAAATGTGATGAAGAAGAAAGAAAGGAAAATATGTTACCTCACTTGACTCATATCCTCTTGCACTTGTGTTATCACTGTCTCTTCCTTTATCCCCCCTCCCACCTCCTCATACTCTGAAGGACTTGATGCCTAATGAACATGCAGAAATAGTATTTAGTTGTATTGTATGATTAGGTAACACACTTCTCCTCTCACTGTGTTTTCTCATGATGTGGTATATGAAAAGAAGCCAGTCTCCTATCAAACCAGAAGAAATGAAAAGCTATTGAAAGAAGGCTCATAAAAATCCTTACAGAAACATGATCTATTTTATTATATAGTGATGGTAAAATTGGACATAAACAAATATTTCATTAATATATGTGAACATTGTATATCCTTAGCATACATCATACCTTTCAATCCACACAAACATTAAAATAAAATGTCATTCAGGCTTGTATAAATGACAAAAAGGTTCAAAGTCATTTCTCTACAGTAACAACCCTCACAAAGCTTATTCAGAGTATCTACACTAAACTCAGAAATTCGAGAATGCTCCAACAAAAAAAATAAAGATATGTAAGCATTATAGACAGATATTTGATAAAGTCATTTGAAAAAATTATTCAACTCCTCAAGTCAGGAAAGATCAGGTTAACATGGGTAATTCAAAGAATTTGTGATGTGTCACAGAGAAGTGAAATTGAGAGCAGTGATGATTGCTTTGTTTTAAGATGGAGCTGATATTTAGGATTTACATTTTATTTTTTTAAAAAAAGCTTTCTAAACTAACATGATATACTAATGTCTAATAAAAGCAAGCCTAATTGCCTCCCATTTAGATTGCAATCATAAAGGTCTGGTTTTTCTATAAAAACACTGCTCATTCTTAGATTACAGTGTATTCATAAATAAACTCCTGTATGTTATTTGTTTCATTTTTTCTAGTTAGAGAGAATGTAGCATTTACTTGCATGAAACTGTACTCAAATATTAAAGCTAAGTGGAATTAAACTGGAGGACATTTTGTTCCCTATAAATAGCAGGAAGACTGTAGCATCTACATATTAAGGCAAAGAGAAAAGAAAATAAAAAATAAATCACAAAATTTACATATTAAAATTTTATTATTTTGTCTCTCCAAAAGCTATAATTATTTTCTTACATGAGAAAATCAACAATAAAATTCATAAACCTCTGCCTTGTATTTAGATCATGTTTGCATCTTTGTGGTGATATGCCTTCTGAGAGCTAATAACATCACAATTTAGAGTCTGTGGGCTATCTTGCTTCAGATTAACACTTAAATAAAAGATTAAAGTTCAAAAGTTCACACAAACATCCCCCAAAAACACAATTCTGAGAAGGGGATCATTCCATTGTAGCACCATACCAGTTTAATACATAAATATGAATGGTATCATCACAATTTTTTCCCTAAACCTAAACTCACCAAAGTTCAATTTTGTTTCAGAATGAAAGAATATAAATAGTGGGCTATATTTGCCCTTAAATAACTCAAGTAAATTCTCTGAAAATGACTCAGTCCTTCCTTGTTTTTATATCTCCTTTCCCCTTTCTCCCACTTCCCAGGCATGTCCCCCCAAATGAAAGCAATCTTGTAGTCAATAGCTTTTTTCTTTTGCTCTTAGTCGAAAACATAGTATATCTTGCTTTGGGTGGTTATGCCAAACAATGGAGCCCAGAAGTAAGAGAAATAAAGATGAGGGCAAGAATTTAACATTTAACATTTCGAGTTAATTTAACCTGAACATGCTCTAAAATCCTCTCTAAAATATCTTGAGGATTGGGGACTGTTCTCAAACAAACTGATGCAATGCTTTCCAAATTTACAGTGAAAAAAAGTTACAGTTTCAAGGACTATTACTACCATAACTGAATGCTGAGTTTGAAATGTATGTTAAGAGTCAAATATGTAGGCTTTTACTCTTAGAGGAAAAAAGACAAGAGTCAGAAATTTCAAATAGATATAAAATAATTAAATGTGGGATAGAGGGAACAAAAAGAGTTCCACCATTTAAACTAAGAATCAGGTGGCAACATGCTTCTTTTTCTCATCTGTATTTTACAGTTGGACATTTCCTGTAAAGTAGGGAGCAGCTGACGCTTATGTCATCTAACTTTCTTATATCAAGTTAGCAAAATACTGTTTTCTCTTCTGGATAAATAAGATTAATAAGAAGAAGAACAGCTAAGTTTTATTAAAAACTTACTATATTTAACTCTTTACTTGAATCCATTAATGAGTTCTTTCAGTAAGCTTATAAGGAATACACCAGTGTTATTCATTTGGCCAAAGAAACCAAATCTCAGAGAAGTCAGGTAGAAAAGCCAGAATTATAATCCAGGCTGATTCCCTCCAGAGCACTCTTAACCTCTCTCCTGCAATAGCCCATAACATCAAGCCTGTGACCTTCCTTTGCATTATCCATCAAACTTGAAATTTTTCTCTTGTCATTCTTTAAATTTTATTTTATTATTCAATACCACTGTTTTCTCCTTTATACTCTTAAGATATCATGGAAATACTCATTCTCTATTTAAATGCTCTGTTTAAACTTCCTAAATAGTTACTCATATAGAATAAAAGGTAATTTGAATGTTCCCCCCAAAATTTTATTTTAAATGTGCATCGTTCCTCATTAATTGTAAAAATTCCAGCAAATAAATTGAAGAATAGTTTCTGATGTTGCTGCTTTTCTATGAACAGCTTTGTTTGCCTTTGCTTCCCAGTATTATCTCTTTCAGTGTTGCACCAGTCGTCATCATTAGCAATATCCAGAAAGATTTACTACTACTGTCAGAAAACATTCACTTAGCACATATAATGTTCTAGGCTCTGTTGAATAAATTAATAGATAAATAAAGAGATGGGTTAGTACTAGATTGTGAGAGAATTATATGTCTTGCTAAATTATCTCCTTGAAGGCAATGTGAATCATTTAAAACATTTAGTGGGGTAAAATCATACTCTAATTTGATGATTAAAAAAATCACCAGGGTAGAAGTTTGGGGAAAAGTTTGGAAGAGAGTGTGACTGGATGCAGGGAAATCAGTTAACAAGATTTTGCTGTCCTATTTAGACAAGAAATGATGCAGGCTGGATCTATTTCATGGCAAGAGAAATTGAAAAGGAAGGTAGATAAAAAATCTATTTAAGGAATCCAACTCGTAGAGAATTAGACTGAAGTCACATATTGAAAATGAAGAGGAAAGGTGCAAAATACATTTCAAGAACAGAAGTCCTTTCAGGATCTCAAGACATGGAGGAACATGGAGTTTTCATGACTGAGAAGAAAGCTGGACAAGAAAGATAAAATGAGTACAATCACCCAGAGCTAATTTTTCCTACCATGAACAGAGATTTAGCAGATTAGAAGATACAAGTGAAAATAAGAGCCACTTATCTTCCTACCTGCACTTCAACCCAGCAATACAGGTTTCACTTATCTTCATAATCTCCCTGGCCAAAAGAGGACTTCTGGGAACTCTGCTCTATAGTGGAGGAAAAACAGAGGCAGGAAACCATGGGGGCTAATTGTTTCTGCCTCAAAGGAAGTTTTCATGGCAACCCCTCAGCCTTAGGAGAGTAAGCCCTGATATCCCTGTAGTGCAAAACTGGATATCTATCCAACTACCACAAACAACCACAACCCTAGCTGAGCTATCCCCCAAACTCTTGCCACATTTAACACTATTCTTTGAGCTCTAGAGAGTTAATTTAAAGAAGTTGAGATGATTTATTTAGCCTGCATAAAAGTTAACTTAAATGGTTCTACTTCGTGTCTGAAGAACATTATCATTTCTTCCATTTTCCAAGTAAAATACTTATAAAAACACATAAAAAATATAAAATCATAATAACACTGAAAACTAAAACTGATGGACAGCTTATTGTTAGAATTGATTACGAATTCCATGGATAAGGTGTGAAAATCACAATGGGTGGCAATCCCCAATTATCTAATTTTTTTGTTTGTTATGATCTCTTTTCTGCTAAGCTACATTATGAAAATAATATATTACATTATGTTAACAATAATAGAGAGAGTCATGATAGAGAGAAGGAAAAGAAAGTTAAGTTATGGAACTTAAGTCATGGGGAAATAAATGACAATAATTAATTATTGAGTCTGAATTAGATACAAACTAAAAAAATTATTAATTTAAATATAATACTAGTGAAATCTTAAAATAAGACATTTACCACAAATAAATTAAAAGAAAAATTATAGGCTAAGATACATAGAAAAGAAAAAGAAAAAAAGGCAGCAATAGTAAAATTAGACGGAGAAAAAAATCAAGATAAATAATTAAATTATAAAAGGAAGATAATTTTATATTGGTAAATATTTCAATTTATAATTAAAATGGCTATCATTAAGAAAATTTCTATACTAGGCTATGTTCTCTTATAATATCAAATAAGAAAATTAGAATATACTAAAGAAATTAACAGAAATGGTAATATTAGAAGACCACGATATCCTCTCCTTTGGATTTTGGCAAAGATTGTAGGCAAGAATTGACCTATAGAGGATACTAATTATATATTCATTTAGGTTAATACATATTATACAGATAATACAAAGTATGTTGCACACAAGAAGTATCACTCTTTTAATAATAAAATATACAATTGCAAAATCAATGAATTTAACTAAACTAAATATCACAAAAAAATTAATAGAAAACAGAATAATATGTGGCATAAATAATATAGAAAGGAAATTAATTAATTTTTGTAAAAATATAAAGAAAAACACTAGTAATCTAACAGAAAAATGAGCAAAGAACTTATTACATACAAAAGTAATACAATTTATCTTTAAAAATACTGAATAAGTACGATTTTTTATTACTAAGCCAAGTGAGGATGCCATAGGCTATGCAGTCTTGAACATTGCTGGTGGTAAAATTTTCAGGGAAATAATTGAAAAATTTGAGACTTAATAATGCTTGTACATTTTTTTATTTAGTAAAGGATAACTCCATAGAAATAATACAAAGTATCTAAAAGATGTAACCATATGAATGTTCAGTGAAATATTATTAACGAAAGCAACAAAACATCTAAAACAAATCCATAATCTCTGATCTGAAGCCCTTGGAAAGGAATTTTTTTAAAGTCGTCATTTTTTGGACTTTAGAATGCATTGACTATACCTCAGGGATAAGAGAACATCTCATAATCCATTAATATTTCTGCTGTGATATATATTACTTTAAGCAGAATAAATATAGATGATAAATAGCCTCACATTAGTTTAGGTGAATCTTGCTACCAAATTAGATAAGGCCAGCTCAGTTACAAAAACACTTTTCTTTTCACAGCTGTTTGGATTTTGAAACTATAAAGAACTATAGGAAAGGGATTTTGAAGTTATAAGAAAGGGGATTTTATTGATGGAATATTTGAAGCATCCATAGAATATGACTCAGCAAAAAATAATTAGAGTCAAAATGTTTTATAGGACAGGAAAAGTCTCTTTTATATGTACTAGGTAGAAATGTTAATATTTGAAACTGTATATACAATTTAATTTCAATTTTAAAAAATATTTATGTACACAAAAAGATGCAGGTAAAATACTATGAATGTTAATAGTAGTTCTGAGTGTTGGGTTATGATTGATTTTTCTGTTTTATTTTTAAGTCTTATCTACATTTTTCTAATTTTCAAAATAATGAATATTTATTCCTTTTATCTCTGGGAAAAAATACATGGCTTAAAAGAAAAAAAATGGGGACATAGCTATAGTGTAACTTAAAATGTTCTTATTTAAGTTGTTATTATTAGGATAAACCTAAGTAAGTATTCTTTAGCTCATGGAAAAACAAAATCATATATTTGACAAAAAGAAGTCTGAATTTCTTGGCTGTAAAGGTGATTAATTAGCAATAATATTTCACCAAGGAATGTTTTGGAATAACTATCCCTAAGGAAAATTGAATGATTTATAACTTCTGCCTATAAGCTTTTATTTATCATAAAGAAGTGTTTTATGTTCCAATTTCTCTTTTTAGAAGAATGTTGATAAATTAGTGATCGTGAATTATATGGAGTTTAAAGAAAAGGGAGTAAGAAATGAGGAATTAGCTTCAAGAGTCTTTCGATACCTTTTTACTATTTTCATGCTGGAATGTGGAGAAAAGATAACACAAGAAAGTACTAACCTATGTGCTTGCTCAGTAAAGTTCACTATTATTCAAAATGTAACTGAATATATACTGTAGCCTCTTTATGAACCTTCTTAGTCTCAGAATTTGAGTTCTCAGTCAAAACTATTTAGCATAGCTTCTGTAATTTTTCTATTCAACACAGACCCCCTGGAAAAATTTTTTTGAAGTTACAGAAAAGTTACCATGAGTGACTTGGGCTCTCTGTTCTGTAGAGAGACATTGGAATTGAAATACTCTTAAGGCTGTGTCAAAACAGACTCTCCCAGAGGATACCAAATGTTCAGTACTTGTTCCATTTCCCCAATTCTGTTGTAAATAACAGCTTATGATCTCCTCTTGTCAGGCCATCGTCACCACTTGACTCACACTGGGTTAGTAGTGAGCACCACAGCAGCTATTTTTGGATCTTTACAACACAGACCTCTGGCTAACCTATATCAAACCCATGCTTCACATTCTCTTGGTAAGAAAACATGCAAAGGTTGCTCCCTAAACTTCTCAGATTCTTTCCCAAAATTATGTCTGCTTTAAGCCTCAAGGTTAGGGGAACTGACCTGGGGCTAGCTATCTGTCACAAAGAACTTAACTGCAGAATGGCCTGATGCATCTCCTTTTGTTTTGCTTTTAGATTGATTCAGGTCCTGTTAATACAAATTAATATATAGAAGCCTCTAATGGTATTTTTGAAAGCAGAAGAAATCCTATGAAGGGGATATGATCATTTGTAATGAACTTGAAGTCTTTAGCAATAAGAGAAGATAAACTTGCAAAGGGTGAAACATGTAGCTGCAGACTCCTTGGATATTGGAAAGCCTGAGAATTTAAAGTTGTAGGTCCTGGAAATACATATATTACCCAAGAACTAAAAAAAAAATGGCTTAGAAACATCAGGGATGTTCTGGGCTAAGCAGTGTGTGCCAGAACCTGCTTGCACTGACTCAGTGCAGTGGTTTTTTTTCCTAAGTCCACATTCAGTGATGTCACAGTGGTAGCCTGAAATTGGTCATGGTTGAAATGGTTAAGCCACAGAAATCATCAAACACTACAAAATAGGGCTCTTTTTTTCCCCTGAGGCAGTTGTTAAGCATTTGCTAGCCACAGTCGAAAGTGTATAGTTTTCAGAATTTTTAATAATGTAATTAGTAGTAGGTATGATTATATACTCTTTCAAAGTCAGTACTGTATAAAGAAAAACAAACTCTACACATGAAACAGAATATTATTTAAAGGCAAACTCTGGTTAACTGAAGATATACATTGTAAACTCTAGGGAAAATATTAAAAAAAAATTTAAGTATAAATAATAAGTCAATAGTGAAGATAAAATGGAATCATAAGAAAAATGCCAAATTAACCAAAGAGGAGACAGTAAAAGAGGTTAAAAGAAATGAAGAATAGATGGAAGAAATAGAAAGCAAGATTGTAGATTTTAATCCAACCATATCAAAAATGACAAAATGTGAATAATCTAGACATAACAATTAAAAACAGGGATTGCCAGATTGGATTTTTTAAAAAAGTATATGCTATTTATAATGAACTCCATTTATATAAAACCACAGATAGGTTAAAAGTAAAACTAATAGGAAAAAATAAACCTTGCAAACATCAATGAAAGAAAGCTGGAGTGGTTATAATAATAGCACATAAAGTTACTTTAGAACAAGAAATATTACCAAGGTTTAAGAGGAAAATTACATAACAATAAATGGGTCAGTTCTCCAAGAAGACCTAAGTATTCTAAACGTGTACACACCTAACCTCAACATAACCTCAAAATACGTAAAACAAAAAGAATGCTGAAAGGAGAAATAGATAAATCTGCGATTATAGTTTGACACTTCACCATGCCTCTCAATAATTGCTAGAACAAGTAGACAGGAAATTGGCAGAGATATAGGAGAAATAATCAACATCATCAACCAATCTGTCAATATAATGTTCTATTATTGACATTTATAGGACACTCCATACAACATCTAAATAAGCATTTCTTTCAAGTACAAATGGAACATTTAACAAGATAGACTATATTCTGGGCCATAAAACAAACTTTGGTAAATTTAAAAGAATAAAAATCTTACAAAGTATGTCTTTAGACCATAATAGAATTAAACTGGAAATCAATAAGAGAAACATATCTGGAAAATTCTCAAAATTTAGAAATTAAAGCTGCAATGAATATTCTCATGTATTTGTTGCTGCAACCTTTTTGAGTTCTATAATTTTCTTAAATATGTAATTTAAAAAATATGATGACCGTCTACAGTACAAAGAAATTACTATTGGCATATGCAATCGTTGTTGTTGTTGTTTTTATTTCATAAGACTAATTATACCATGTCTCAAAAGGACTCTTGGCAGAGTTACTGACCTCAATTTGAAACTAAAATTGAAGAACTTTTCCAACACCATCCTACATATACCTTTGTCCACATGACAATCTCCTGTTTGACATAGCTCAAACATCCCTGAGAAGCCTTCCTTGACAATGGTCTATGGAGGCCCACTCCTCATTATCCCTGCAAAGTGACTTTCCTTCCTCCATGTTCCTATAGTCCTCTGCCTGGTTAACCCCTCTTGTCCTTCAAACTTCAGCTCCAGGCTCCATGTAGGCATTCCATGATTCCTCTCCCCTACTCATCTTTACTAGGTAGATACCCCTCTTATATAAACCCCAAACACTCAATGATTAGTGTAAGTTTTCTCAATAACAGCACTATTGAATTGTCTAAGATGGACTAATAAACACATAAGCAGACTAATCAGTCAGTATGATTAGAGGCACTAATTCAATGGTTCTCCAATGGGGAGTATTTGCCCCTCAGAGGACATTTGGCAATGTCTGGAGACATCTTTGATTGTCACAACTAGAATATGTGTGCTACTGGAATCTAGTAGGTAGAGACCAAGGATACTGTTAAACATCCTACAATGCACAGGAGAGGCCTGCACAAGAAAGAATTATTAAACAAAAATGTCAACAGTGCTACTGTCCACTTATTCAGTTGATTCATGCACCAAAATTGTCTGATCTTTGTTTTTGTGATTAAATCAATCAACAAAAGTATTTTAATGTAAAGATGCTATAAAACTGACAGGTTATAATCCAGGCTTTCAAGATATAGTATGAGAAAGAAGAGGTGAATATTTTTAAAAATACACATATGTGTGTGTGTGTGTGTGTGTGTGTGTGTGTGTTTGTGCGTAAATGGGAGCATAATAACTATTCATAATTATAGATGGCCATCTATACATAAACCCTTCATAATTTATTTTAATCAATTTGTTTCTGTTTTAATAAATTGAATATAACAGAAATAAAAATGTTGGAACCAAAACTATAATGCTGGAAGAATAGAGAAAAACACATTCTACCTATTTTAAGATCCATATTAAAATGCACATAATTAAGGGGGAAGAAGAAAACATTAGATGAATTGTAACCCTATGGAGTAGTCTTTTCAATAATAACCAAAGCAATTATTATTTCCAGGAGATTATCTAGCATATAAAATGCTAGTCATGCATAGAATTATTATTAGGCAGAACATACTTATCTTTTATATCTTAATTTTTATCAGGAACATACTCCATTAAAAATTAATCAATTATAAAAACTAATCCATTAGGTTGAGTAACCTTTTTTCTAGTTTGTGATCTTTAAAAATTATTACAGAAGCAGAATATGCATTGTAAAAAATTAGAAAAACATAATTAAATCAACCCTTCACCAGCGGAGCCACCACTACTAATTACCTAATTTCTGTATTTCCAGGTCTTAATACTAAGACAATATTCAAAGTTCTCACTTGATCAAAAAATATCACATACAGGTGGTATTTTCATTCAAATGTCAAATGTAGGATCAAACTTAAATCTGGATTTTATGTCCCTTAAGTTTCTTGTAATCAATCACAATTTCTTTTTCAGGATGACTTTTTAAAAAACCTAGTCCAATTATCTTCTGCAGAATACCCCTGGATTTGTCTGGTTTCTTTGCTATTCTATCATTTAACTTGTTAGTCTATATCCTGCATTTCTTACAAATTGCACATTATATTAGAGGTTTAATAAATCCAATTTAAATATTTTTGCCTAGAATAATTCATAGACAGTGGTGTATACTTAATGTAGCATTATATCAAAAAGCACATAATATCTAATTAACAACCATAGATGAGGTTACAGTTGATTGATTCTTATACTAAGTTATTTTGTTTTTCCCTCCAGTACACAAATAAGGTTTTCACTCTTGTGATTAAAAATAATGTGTGAGGTTTTCTTTTAGCAATTAACCAATGGCCAGTTTCCAATCAACCATTTACTTAATGATTTTGACACCAATTAATAATCCCTTCCCTTAATCTATAAATATAATTTGGGTCTGTGAAATTTTTTTTTTCTAATTCTACAATCCTTCTATGTTTTATAACTGGCATTTTTCTGTAAAACAGCACCTTTCTTCAAAAATTGGGTTATTTAGTTACCATATCAGTGAGGATGTAAGCAACAGAATTCTCACAAATCCTAACGAAAATATTTGAACCACACCTTTGTAAAAAAATTTGGCATTATCTAGCCAAGTTTAAGATACACACAATATATGACCCAGCCTTTCCATTTTAGGTATAGCATTTTCCACTTAAAATCAGAAATCTATATTTGTAATCAGACATTTTAAAAATAAATGCTAATTTAGAATGTATTTCTCAATATTTTAAATAAGGAAAATTATACTGTTTTATGTATCAATTCAAAACCTCAACCAATTTCCTAAAACATAACTAATTCACAGTAAAATACCTACATATATAAGTAACAAGCTGTCATGTTAAAATGTAAAATGACTAAATTGTTCATTAAAATATTAATATGGTTATTTCAAACAGTTGCTTTGTATGCAGCAACATGCTATATTAGCCTGGGTTCTCCAGAGAAACAGAAACAAGTGGATATGTACATATAAAATATCCAATTGATATAATATATCTTACGATATATGACTTATTGTATGAAATTGGCTCACGTGATTATGAAGACTTGGAAGTCCAAAGATCTGTAGTCAAGACCCAGGAATCTGCTGAAGACCTAGGAAAGCCAATGGTATAGTTCCAGTCCAAGTCCAAGTCTGAAGGCTGGAGAAGACCAATGTTCCAGCTAGAAGATAGGAAGAGAAAGCAAATTCTTTACTCAGCCTTTGTTCTCTTCAGGCTGTCGATGAAATAGATGAGGTTCACCCACATTGGAGAGGGCAATCTGTTTAACTCACTCTATCTAATCAAATGTTAATCTCATCCAGAATCACTCTCACAGATATACCCAGAATAATGTTTAATCAAATATCTAGTTACCTCTTCAGTCAAGTTGACCCATATAATTAACTATTATACATGCCCTTTGTCAATTCTGGCTGTACCTTTCAAAACATTCACACTTAACAATTCTATTTGGAACATAATTCAAGACTTCCCCTCAGCCTGCCCCCTGTACACATTGTTTTGTTTTTTAAAATGTAGTTTTGAGTTTAGGGGACATAAATACAAATTTTTCATGTGAGACATCAGCTGACAAGTAGATTGCAAAGACACCTATATTCTAAAGTTTGGATATCAAAATCCAAGAGGTATTCTACTAGGGAAATGTTAAAATATGCCAATACCTACCCTAAAAACATATAAACATATGCACCATATTTACAGTAACCAAAACATATTTATAGTAACCAAAAATTTCAAACAACCTGAATGTCCACTTATAGCAGCATGACTGAGTTGAGAAATATTCATGCAATGAAATAGTATATCATCAATAAAATGATATAGCCCAATGCTATATACTATGGATGACATTGAAAACACAATATTGAACCAAAGAAGATAAATAAAAATAATTCCAACTGTATGATTCCACTCATATTAAGTTCAAAGCAGGCAAACCAGACCATTGTTTAGGGACATATATAGGTTATACAAACATAAAGAAAAAGAAAGATATGATTATCATTTTGACAAAAGCATTTGCAAATGAGCTTGCACTTTGCAAATGCTCAAAATTACCACAAATGCAGAACAGAGGACACCTCCCAGAAGAAGGGATAGGATTTTAGTTAGGGAGGAAACCACAAATTAGGTGGATGCTCTTGGTTGCTGCCAAAGTTTTATTTTATAAATTGGATTACACAAGTATTTGTTTTACAAGTATTCCTTAAACAGTACAGATATATTTTATAAACTCTTCTTAAGTATATAAATATTTCATAAAAGAAAAGGAAAAGAAATAAATGGAAAATTTTAAGTTAGGCATTAATATAGGAGATATGACTGTAAAATGCTGCTGAAGGGCACCAGTCTCTGCTTGCTGTATCTGACATGTATCAACACATATAACTGAACTGCAGAAGATAAAAAGAATAACTAAAATAAGTCAGGGACAAAAGCATTTGCAAAGGAGTTTGCACTTAGAAAATGCTTGAAAATAATACATTTGTTGGATTGGAACTCGATGGATGAAAAATCTTTCATATAAATAAAAAGCTTAAAAAATAGTCTAGAAAGATAAAAACTGAACAACTTAATGGGGACATAATAGGCATTCATAAAATCATAAAATATAACAATACTGTAAACATAGCTTTGTGCAATAAATCCTGCAATTTTCAAAACATTAGAATGCTAATGACATTCAAAAGAAGTCATTTTGAACAATTAAAAGAAACTGTACACAGAAAGCCATAAAGTTGCAGTACATTATCATTACATATCCTTAAAATTTATATGTGACAGAAAAAAATCAGTCAAAATACTCAGCCTCAAAAGAAAATGTTCCATTTCATAACTGTTTAAAATTCAGTTAAAATAAATGTTTCTCAACACTTAAACCAGGCTCTGGGACATGAGGCAGAAGTTCAGAACTATTCTCCTAGTGACTTCTGATTTCCCGTAGAATGCTGCCCTCTGCTGTGTTACTTTCAATTCCAAAAATACCACTTTTCTATGGCACCCAATTTTTGTAAAAATTTCCACTTTCATTTCATGAATGAAATGTAGCTATCTTCCTCCTAAAACACTTCATTTGAAATTACTGTCAATTATAAACAAGTTGAAAATGGCTATGATATGTTTTCAAGTATACTAAGAAAAAATCAATCTAGTTTTACATTAATGAAAAAACATAAAATGATAACTATGTATTATCAATTGTTCGCATTATTCAGAGTACAAGAACTAAAATCTGGAATATTTTAAAGTATTTTAAAAACATGTTCAAAGCTAGATATGAGTAATAAAAATTAATTTAAAAATTACATATTCCTAGTGGAGAGAAAAGAAGTAGAAAGGGTAAGGGGGGTCAAATATTTGGTGGTGGAAGGAAATTTAACTTTGGGTGGTGAACACACAATGCAATATATATGTAACATATTATTGATTGTACACTTGAAATCTACTCGATTGTATTAACGAATGTCACTCCAATAATTCTAATAAAAAATTTTTAATTACATGTTCTGAAATATTTGGTTTAAATTACTATTGTTTAATTCAGCAGCCATCATAAGAAACATTTTTCTTATTTCAATGATGCCACCATCACTCAAAATCAGTTTTGAACCATTTGTATAAAATTGCCTCAAAAGGTGTTTCAAAGAATCATTAGAAAATCAATCTATTTTATAATTACACTTTTTGCTAAAAACATTAAATTTCACCATCAGCATTATTTATAAACTTAATATTAATATTTAAACATCATTCTTATTTTAAAGTAGATATTATTTTTGGAACTAAAGATCTTCTACTACTTAGGGTACTCAAAAAAATATGATAAATAATTTTAAGAAATTCTGAAAGAGGAATTCCAAAGTTTTTGTCAATAACTATAACATATATCTTTATGTATAGATATATAGATATATATTGAAAAAGAAAATAATCAAACTGTCAAGTGTCAGTTTCTGTCTAGAACGTAGAGAGTTACAAGAGAATGTCATTCCTACCATAACAATAACAAGCCAGATAACCTATAAAATCATACTTCATTAAAAATTCATCAGAGAGCTAAGGATGGGGGGAAAATATCTAATGAATTAAAATCCAGATAGTTATGAACCTCTCTTTGGAGTGAAAGGACCCAATAGTTTCCTCATGCTTGGTAAACCAGTAGAAAAGGAGAAAGCTGACAGATAAATAGATAAGAAGAAAATTGCCAACCTTTCAAGGAATTTTTGTAGACCAAGGGTAAGCTGGCAAGATGGTTTAGAATCCTTACAATGTAGAGTACATCACGTACCAACACATTTCATAGGCCTTTACAGAGTGGTCATGAGAAATAGTGGAGCTAAGGCTGAAACTTTTTAAGCACTCAGGCTTTACACTAATACAAGGCAGCAGGCACCTAACATCAGGAACATGGGCTTTTGCTGAGAGAATCCCGCTCCACCAAGGTACAGTGTACAGGACCTCATGCACTTTGAGGGCATTAAAGAAAAACTGAGACAAGTTCTATAAGTACTCTAGGCCATACATGAGTAAGAGGCAAGAACCTATGACTGGAATAGGGTCAAGAAAGCTGAGAGACTCTTCTCTGCAATGTATGCATGGAGGATTTCTTGCAGTCTGAAAGCAGAACTAAACTCTGTAGGGGGACTCGGGGCCCTCAGTGGGTACAAAACAATAACTGATTTTGGCTGGGGCAGAGGCAAAAGATGTGAGATATCCCTCTGAGATTCAGACAAGCAGGGCCTGAGGAAGGCTGATGGCAAAGTAGGAGAATGGAAACAAATCCTCCAGGAATTCAGGTCCCAAGTCTAGCTGAAAAGAAAATCTGATCCCTTGCAGAAAATATTTAAAGCCTGTGGTGGACTATATCTAACTAAAGAAAAAGTCAAGTCTATATCCCAATTATGAACTAGGTTAACTCATCTCTTCACATTACTAGCCTGACAGAAAGGATGTGGCCTTTTCTGGGTATAAATATTATTTGCCTCGGTTTCTATTGCTCAAAAATATGAGACATGGAGAAAAGAAAAAATGTGACATTATTGAGAGGAAATGGTCAATTAAAACCTGATCCGACGATGAATAGCAATGATAAATATATTAAGGAACCTCCTGGAAAAGGTGAATGGCATGTGTAAATAGGTGGGAAATTTTAGAAGAAAACTATAAAAAGGAGACAGATGGTAATCCTAAAAATGAAAAATAAAAGATAATGAATTATTTGATGAACACTTCAGATGAAAGTCTCATTGAATCTGGTGACAATAGAAACCATCTAAATTAAACACAAAGAGAAAAAAATTTAAATAATAAGGTGATCAGAACTCCAATAACCATGAAATAATATCAAATAGGCTTTCATTTGTGTAGCTGGAGTCTTAGAACAAGAAAAAAAGAACAGAGCAGAAGAGGTAATGATTATTTTCCAAAATTAATGGGAGATAATCAACCCAAAGATCTAAGTTCAGTGAAACCCACAAAGAGTAAATGCAAGAAAACCACGTCTAAGCATATCATAGTCATACTGCTGAAATCTAATGGATAAAGATAAAATCTTGAAATCAAAGAAAAAAAGAAATATTGCCTACAATGAACAATGCTAAGAGTAATGGCTGACTTCTTATAGAAAAAAAAAAATGAGGGGGATAGGCAATGGAATGGCATCTTTAAAGTACTTAAAGAAAAACTGCTAATCTGGAATTCTATATTCATTAAAAATATCCTTTAAAAATGAAGTCAAAATAAAGACATTTGGAATAAGTCAAAAACTGAAAGGATTCATCTCATCTCCAGTAGATCTGTGCTATAATAAATGCTCACTAATGCACTTTGGGTTTTTTTCCCCCCATTTTTCTCTGTTTCAGTTGTATAGTTTTGATTGCTATGTCTTCAAGTTCAATAATCATTTCTTCTGCAATGTTTAATCTATCATTAATCTCACACAGTATATTTTTCATTTCTCACCTTGTAGTTTTCATCCCTGGAAGGCCAATTTGGGTCTTTAAAACATCTTCTATCTTTCCTTAATGTGTACAATATTTATTCAGCCTCTTGAACATAGGGAATTTGGTTATAGTAATTGATTATCTTGTTTTACTAATTGTATCTTCTGTGTCACGTTTGAATTAGTTTTGATTAATTGATAATTTTTCTCCTCCATAT